ATAGGAGTTATTGCCAGAAATGCACGTTTCCATTGCCTCTTGATAGCTCTATCTCTCTCGAATAGTAAAATATCGTAATTGTTAAATATGCGTACGTACATAGCTAATATTCTACATTAATTTATTTTAAATAGCGAAAAAAATATTTTACGCTTAAAAAAATTAAATATCTTTTATTATAAATTTTTGATATCTTACATGGTGTATGTTTTATCTATTATTCCCTAAAATTTTATACATTTTTAATTTTAGAGAACAATGTTTTATACAAAAGTTACAGAACTTCGAGAGACCACACGATTACAATATCGATACATTCGTCATTTTGATGTGATGAAATTTTTTTGCGCATCTTTTTCTACATCAACCATTATTTTATACATAAAAGTATTAGAATACAGAAATTAAAAAATGAATAGTTTACGAAATGTTTTATATTTTATGTCAGAATATATGTCAATAAAATATAAAATATCTCGTAATATCTCAAACTATTGACATGTTGATATTTGTATTTTTTATCCAGAATAACTAAAGGAATCATATTACATAAAAATATGATTCCATTTAAAAAATTGTTATAAAAAATCTTGACAATGACACCATTTGCGAATGAATCAATCTCGTAATCGCGTGGTCCTCTCAAAAAAACCCTACAACATTTATAAAAAAAATATTTTCTCCTAAATAAAAATAAATAAAGTTTTCTGGCTGATAGATTAAAATGAGACAATCTGTATAGTTAGAAATAGTGGAAGAGCGTCGAAAATATACATATCCTCACTGCACCGCTATCACGATAGAATATGCTGATGCTAGGGATAATTTCGTGAAAAAACTGAGACAAAAGGGACGTGTCAGGCGACTGAGCGAGATATAAATCTGCGAGAGTAAAAGGGCCATATCGAACGTCATATCGAAATGTCGCGTTTTTTTGCGAAGGCGAGAAAGCAGACAATCGCGCATAAAACGTATTACCTGTCAGTCCGCGTCGTACGTTGAGTCTTTTCTCTCGCAGCGAGAGAGATTTCGCAGCGATGTATCCTCATCGCGTCTACGACACATGTTAATGCCGCCAACGTCAGTCCTCGTCGTCCGTCAATTAATCACGTGAGCAGTAATTAGCGTCGCGCAAAAAGGAAAGAGCACATCGCGGCCGCGATGCAATAATTATCGCGGCGTACTTGGAAACGTTTGCCGAATTGTGCGAATCGGATACGGAATACGAGAGGGATGTAGCGGCGCATTAAAAGGGATAAACCAACGCGAAGAGGCAACCGCGGAGAGGAACGGGGAGGAACGAGAAACGCGGGAGGGAAAGAGGATGTAAACGCGGCCGCTCTCGCGGTTCACATTCTGCATAATTACGGCAAATTGAGGCGACGTTACTGTAATGTCGCTGAACCGTAACTCGTGCTCGATAACGAGCCCGTGTTTAGCTATGCGAGATTCCTGCGACAACGGCGTTAAAATCGTTGATTTCAACGTGTCCGGCGATTTCGATTCGGATTTTGATCGTGAAGCGTAGATAGATACCAGCGAAGATACTGGCGCGCACCGTTTCAACTCGGCCATTGTTTAACGAACGTGATCGGTCAATGGACTTTTGTTTGTCCGCGACGCAACAATTACTCACTAGAAATTACGACGAGAGAGAACGAATTAGATTCTCTCACCGAACTATTCTATTTACTTTATTCTATTTAAATGAAAATTATGATAGACAAGTATCTCTTCGAGGAAACGCTTGTTTTGCACTTTTGCGTTTTGCCGCTCTTGTAAAAAGCATTAACCAACATGACAAGTAACTCACGCTGGAAAATGGCGAGATTCGTTCGCGTTGTGGATATTGCGGAAGTTGAATCTGTGAACGGTAAAGTTAGCAATCTTTTCGGGATAGATCTACGCTTCTTAATCAGAGGTACTGATAGAATAGAAGCTGAAGAACAACAAGGATGGTACGCAATCAAGATTTCGCATCCTATGTTTAGTTCTGAACTATTATATTAACACACTCTCTCTCTCTCTCTCTCTCTCTCCCTCTTTCTCTACTCTCTCTTACTACACTCTCTCTCTCTCTCTCTCTCTCTCTCTCTCTCTCTCTCTCCTTTCCTCTCTCGGATTATCCTTGAAGTGCCTCTTATAACCGCCGGAAGATTACAACTTGAGGAAATTGTTCGGCAGACGAGAGCTAAAGTTCGACACCTGTCGAGTCTCGAGACTGGATAGCTACTTTGCCGAGACTCTCAAATCATCTTGGATGTGGATCTCAAGTGTGAAATGGCGAAGTCTCATAGTGCTTAAGATTAACGCCTCTTCCATATTCGCTCTGTTATTGCCATCGTCATCGCACGTGTATTGTTTCATGATATTGGAATATTCTAGGGAAACCATTATTCCCATTTCCTTATTAATTGAATGATACGCGGCTCGCATCAAGTAATCATTTATCTGAAGTGATGATGAAATTTTATCTGTAAATATTATATTTATTTACATTTATATTAATTATCGATATAAAAATTCACGATAAAATACGTGAAAAACTAAAAACACTTTTACAATTGCTTTTTTTTTTTAATATATAAGAAATAGAAATGTCTAGCATTCGTAGAATCTTGTCCGTTCTGATGCGTAAATTTCATTTTATTAAAATATTTTTGTATCGAATTGTAAAATTTTACATTTAAAACGAGCACGTGTGGCGAATGGAATTAACGTAGCGTACAAGCAGCGCGCATCATCGAGCGTGTAACAATAGTAATTATCAGGGTGTACAACATTCTATTAAAAACGTTACAAGTGTATTACACTTGTATTTTAGCGACGCAGCGCGCGTTTCGTAATGAAAAGAGCGTAGAACGGCGTCGGGCGCGTATGCATTTTATCAGGCTTCCGGCGTGAAGATATAAAAATATAGCGGCTGCATTTGTCCCCGGCGCTCGTTTTTCAGGGACCTTATTACATGGAAATGTTACGCCGGGTCTCACGAGCGGGGGCCGAGATAACGATTCGCGAGGAGCGATGTGGTACGCTTTTTCCTCGGTATTAGACAGCCGAGGTGGGAGCACTTCATTTCAATGTTCCCCGTATTATTAACGGTCTTTTGTCGGCTTCGGGGGTTCGCTCGACAAAATCGCCCGGCGAGGCGACGAGAGCGGCATTTATCGTCGTCGCGAGCCGACATGATTCGCACCTCTCGCGTCTCCGTAATGAAAAATTGTCGCGCGAACGAGCGGCCAAAGATCACTCTTCATTAACACGTCACGGGCGTGACGTGACTCGTGACCAGCGTGACTTATGTGATACTTACGTGTCGCGCCGATTTAGGTGTGAAACACAAGCCCTGCCATATTTATAGATAGAGCGAATTGAAATTCACGTGTTAACGCACCGAAAAATCCTGCAACGAGAGACGATCGACCAATCGTGAATTGAATCGCCGAATTAAAATTTTCGAACCAACGTCGACGGCACGGCGCGTCAATAACGACGTCACTTACCGTGTCATCACCTATTTCAATTACAAATTTTATTCAATATTTATCCGCAAACTTTTCACCACGTTGCGGACCGTTGTTAAATAGAAAACGGTCCTCTGGACCGTGTGTTTCGCCAAACTCGTGTAAAACTTGGAAAATGGCTCGTTAAACTAGTCAATTATGCGCGTTGTTTATCTTGCGCGAGTTTTACAAAGGTAACTTTTACAACAAAGCCATAGATATCTCTTATCCCCTTTTTTTTAGAGATTGTAATAAACTTTCAATTGAATCGATTTGCAAAACCACATTAACGATAAGATGATCAAATCTGAGAAAAAATAAAAAGGAACAATAATACATTGACAAATATTTATAGCACTTTTTTTTTCGAGAGAAATTATATTATTTCCAAGAAAACAATAGATAAATACAACTTTGATATAAAATGATCTTTTTACCATTTCTGCTCGCACAATCTAAGAAATACTTAAATAGACTATTTTAATATTTAACAATATGTAATTTAATTATTTTTTTAAATTAAGTCAAATTAATTAAAAAAATAGAACAATTAATCTTAATGTTAAAAATTCATGTTTTTTTATTTTACACTCCGGAGTTCGCTTTTTATTTTACACTCCGGAGTTCGCTTTACGTGTAATTATCTTTACGTATAACTTCAATTGTGACGTCAGTTATTGGCACAAGCAGTATTGCAGGAACAGAATATTCCAATGGTAATTGAGGTTCAATCGTGTGGTTAAGTGAACTGTGCTTTGAAATCATACATTAAACGTGGTTGCAGTCGCTGGAGAAAATACGAGATGTCGGAGACGAACGGGAATTGACATGGCGTTTTAAAGAAGCCGGATTTGAAAGGCAAATTTAATAGCTCGAGAGCTAATGAATAAAAGCGATTGAATGATAAACTTAGATCTCGAGATGGTCGCGACGACCGCGATACAATTTGAAAGACGGATTAAAGAATCGACGAAGCATAAAAACGACCGCGGGAGAAAAGAATAGGGATTGTGAAAAGAATTCGATGTTTTCATTCCCGGAGTGATTTCCTCGGAAATATGTTTTTCAAGTATCAGGAGTTACATGCTTCAGTGAATAAATCTCAAATCTGGTTAATCTAAGTATACTAAATTGCATACAGTGACAAAAATTTGTCAAGTTAAATAATAGAGAGCGGGATTTTCATAAAATACAACGCTATAAAACATCTTTCTGACAGAAATTTGTCCGTAAATTTATTGATATATATTAGAGGGTTGAAATTTTCATTCGGGGGGGTTCTCGCACTTTGCTTAACTTCGAGCGTAAAATTCGCTTAACCTCGGTGTAAAATGATACAAATAATACATGCTCCCTTGTATTTCCCGCATAAAAGAAAAAAAAATTGCAATTTGTTTCGAGCTCTGCGTTTGCGTGTGGATCTGCATTTCTGCACGTCAGCGAGCCGATTGGTCCGCGAATAAGTTGGGAAACGGTTTCGCATCGACAAATACTCACTCGGATCCTTGACGGCTGTGATGACGAGGCGGAAGCCATTCGAGTTGGTGCCCCAGGCATCGGTGACGTATTTCAACGTCACGAAGTTTGTGCGCGTGTAAATCGCGCCCACAGTCTGCTTCGTGTTTCTGCAGGATAGGTCTGCCTGGAAACAAAAGAAAATTGCATTCGTCGAGTACGTGCCACTTGAGAGGGTGGAGCGCCTTTTTTCAGCGGGCGCTTCACGTGCTAACGATGCAAATGTCGCAAGCGATATCGAACGAACGTGTGACGGACGACGTGTGCTTGATTTACGCGCGGATAGTTTTATATTGCAATGGACTAAAAGTCCCAATCGATCCTGTTCGTGAAACGTCATGGGGAATGTGATTTATGTTGCGGCACATCTGCGAGAGAAAAGTAAATTTGACGTGAAAAATTTGCGATACTTGAAATCTTGGATATTATTGATATTTTAATCTTTGATTCGTACGGAAATATTTTTTGTTTCTTTTTTTTTCTTTTTTTTTTTACATTTATGCACGTCTTGCCCGTTTTCTTCCTAATGAATTCTTTTAGTGTTGCATTTTATTTGCTACGAATATTACTTGAGAAAGGAGACCCTTCTTAAATTTTTTAAAATTTAGCAAGAAAGTGCAGGAAAAATGAAAAACGTGGAATATCCCATATTACCTGCGTAATATTACCAGTGTTACTAAGAATAATAAAAAACGTTCTCTTTTATATGTCATTAACTGTTCCCTCGCACTTTATGAATCAGGCGGCAATGATAAAGAGACCGTAATTTCACGTGGCGGAAGTCAGAATGGCAGCTTATGAAAGACCGGGTAAACGTCAAATAACGTCGTTTCCCGAGATGGCGGGCATTTTTAATAAAGCGGCCATCCGCATACGGTGCGCGAATCCATTTCTTTTTTTTTCTGGAAGTTTATACCGAGCATTTGTAAGCCAGCTTAAAGCGCAGCTTGACGCAAAACAAAAATAACATATCTGCGAGTAGATAATCCTGAAATACGAACCGTAGATATCAATTCAAGCAACAGCAACGAGACTGTGGTCGGCGAGCAAGAAATTTATTCGTAGATTTGCAACGCGGTATCTCGCTCGTTTGTCTCGAGACACAAGCAACGTAACACTTGTTGCACCCGACGGACGTGAAAGAAACCGGAAACAAACCGCTCTACCGAAATAAAAAGAACGTATCGATTATTTTATTGCTACATTACTTTTCTTATTTTTTTTTTTTTTTTAGGGTATTTGTTTAGATGCATCGTTATAGCTATCATTTGTGCACAACGTATGAAAATTTCGCCGAAATATCTTTGAATGATATTGATTTTATCATATATTCATCTATCGTGACGCGAACGATTTCGATAAATCAATTTTTTTGGCACTTTAATTGCTGAAATAATTGAAATCCTCTTTTATTATTCATGTTCGCGGGATATATCGCCGAAAGTCAAGTGCGCGCAGAAAAATAACAGAACGGCAACGATAACTAGATGCAAACGTTGTTGCTTTATCGAGGAAGCAATTTATAAACCTTGCTGTATTTTCCATTTGTGTTTTATTTAAAAATTAAATATCCGCATGGCGAGTAAGTTTTATTCGTTAACAAGCATCACGATCGTGTAAAACATGCAATTTATCGCGCCGTCCTTATCTGCTATCGCGAAAATCGTAATTTCGTGCCGTGGAAAATTCAGGGCGGGAGGGAAAGAAGGAGTTCTAGGATGATAACAGTTTAAATTACATTCCGCACATGCGCTTCCGCATAAACAACTTTTATTGAGATTTTAACTTTGTTGTGCGACGGATTGAGCGTTAGTCATACTCTTGCGTTTCTAGCTTGAACAGACCGTAAATGCTGCTTCTCTTTTACTTTGATCAGCGGCTTCGTTATTGCAAAATATTATCGAATCTATCCGCGGACTGTTCAATAACGGTTCTTCTTCCCGTTCCAATTAATGAACGAGTAATTGAGTTTTGCCGATGATAATCCACATTTAATTATCCCTTCTCGCTTCGATCATTAGCTTCTATCTTTCCGCTTTTTTCTTTTGTTCTCTGCGCGTCATCTCGCTCTCTTCTTTTCGTTTTTCCGTTCTCTTCTATCTTACAGTAAAAGTAGCAATCTCAATATGTCAAATATACGGAAATAATTAAATCTTTGGAAATCTTTGGGATCTTTAGAATTTTGAAAATGCAAACTTTCTAATTTCGTTTTGATTTATTTGTGAGTATATAATGCTTAAATATGTGTTAGCATTAGAGTGTGTAGTAATTGTTGTATAAAATTTATAAGAGAATGATAATATATTTTATTTATATTATATTTCACAATTTAGATAAAAAAATAAAATTTTTTATATTTTTTTAGAAAATAATTTTTGTAACAATGAAACATGGAATAATTTTTATTATTTTTTTCGAGCTATCTCTGCAATCAAACCAGATACAAATCACTAAACTGGACATAAATCACCATCTGGTGAGTTATTATTGCATAACATTGAAAACATCATCGGTCCAATATCAAAATTGTAAAATTATTAAACTTTATGTATTTTTAAAAATATATTCGCATCAAAAATAAATTTATTAATGTTTAAATTTTAAGACTTTTAAAACAAACAACATTGTTTTTCAATTTGCAGCAATTTTTTTTATATTGAAACTTTAAATATAGTAGAATTTTAAAATCATTGGATTTTCATTTTGGTTTTGTATATCAATATGATGGCATAGTTATTTAGTATTATTTATATAACTTTGTTACAACGCAACGAAGCATATCAATACAATACACATTTGTACAAACTAACAGAGTTAAAAATACCACGTAATTCTAAAATATGAATGCAACAGCTATTGAAAGCTTATAATATTTTTTACTCGTAATTTAAATCGCACTAACTGTAACAATGCATTTTCCGCACAATATATAAAGTAATTTAAGATAAGCCGGCTGTTAAATATCATTCGTCGTTAAGCCACAGAGGGGCAATGTGCTTGCGCAATGTATTAGAAGATAACACGAAATGAGAAAAAAAAGAACAAAAGTAAAGTAACGTTCTCGAATAATAAAAAGGTAACTGCTCGAGAAACTAGATCGTTGAAAATAAAGTTACGGAATGAAATCCACACTTAAGAACATAAACTTAGTCGATCGCTAATGATTGTAGAGAAAATTAATAAAATCAAAAGAAAATCGTGTCAATCCGTTTCATAATATTGCCATTTATAAATGTTATTTCCCTTGTATTTTGCACGTGGGCATTTATTTTGTATTGAGATATGCTGTTTTGAGCGGCTATACGCACATTCGACGTGACCGATATACGCCAAACCCATTTCACTTGCCACATTGTTATTATCATTAGCCGCATGCATTGCAATCATTCAAACGGACTATTAAATCGTATCGATCAAACCGTTTATTTTTATTAAAATAGCATAATTGCAGTTTTGCATTCAGACGATATGTTGATGCATACCAACACAGTACATCGATTGTAAATGACCGGGGTTTCAACGATACAAAAATAATTTGCAAAACAATCTGCACAATTATCCTAATGTTATCTCGCAAATGTGCCGACTCCGCATTATCATGTGTATCGCGAGAAATCACATTAATGCCGTCACATTACAAACACAGATTTTGCAATAATCCGCGTTGCTGCAAACTCGATATTTATCGCGGCTCAACGTCGGCGATCGGCAATGAATTTTATCGGTAAAAAACTTTTCGCGCGTGACGCGAATCGTAAACAATTACGAATAATCAAACGTCACAGAATTTAATTGTCGGTATCCCGCCTCCGAATGGAGGTCAGCCTAATTTACGATCGCATTATTATCGGCAATACAGTAGGCGCACGGTGATTCACTCTCGGACTGATCTATAGGGTCTATTTGCGCGCGGCAAATTGTGTACTCTGTCTGGTATTAGGTATTGCGTCCGTGAACGCGAACGGCGGTTTAATAACGTGCTCGCCAATCGACCGCATGTCAACCGGACGAGCACTTGTCAATTCCGAGGACGAGAGTCATCGATCATGCACGAAACGTAGGGTTAAGTAATCTGCATCGTCGAGCAGACAGCCAAGCTGTAGACGTAAGCCGGCGGCAGGAAGGGTTGCTCTTGTAGTGCATAGTACGCTGGTTTACCCTTTGGTATGCCGTTGACGTACGCTTACAGCAAATGTACTAGCAGGATTGCATGTAGATTTGAACAGCGTGTACCTATAATTCCAAATATCAAGTTGTAAATCTCTATGCTCTTCTTCCGCCTGAATAAAATATTGTATATTTTATATAATTTAACTCGTAAGAGTGTATCAATATGAAATATTTAATATTTTATTCAAACGGAGGAAAAATGTAGATTTAGAAGTTTTAAAACTATTTATAAAATTATAAACTATATATAAAAATAGTTTTATAATTCTACGTTATTTTAATTTTAATAATATAGAGTCAAATATTATTATATTTATTATATATATATATATATATATATATATATAATAATTTATATAAAATTAAAGAAAATATAAAATATGAAACTATCTTTTTATATATAGTACTTTTATATATAGTTTTATATATAGTTTATAATTTTAGTGGATAGTTTTAAATTTTACATTCTCTCTTTAACAATTATTTTTAACCATAGAGTTCAGTGCTGAAATTATCGAAGAAATAGAAATTATCGAGAAATAGAATATTTGTAAGAAAAACGGGTTTCTTTTTTTTTTTGTGGTCCGTAAAAGTCAGAAATTTGAAATAGGTTGGACAATTAGAAGAGAGATCCGAGGACGGGTTTAGAGATCGTGCGAGATTAGATACATCTTCGGGGAAAAACGTCGTCTGAATGGCAATGCTGTAACACAAAACACGAATGGAAACCGCCCCCGTAAGAGGGCCACCTAATCTACATTTACATGACTTTTGGCGTATCACACGAGAATGGAGCCGGCCTCCCAACGAAGCCTCGAAGGTACGATCTCTCTTTCGTCGGCTTTTTCGCTGGTGAAAGAAGGCCTCGAGCGGAGCTTATGACAATGCTGCTCTAAGTCGATTCCGAAGAGATTCGAAAGGGGCGGCCGAGAAGCCATTGTCGTGCGTACAAACAAC